CAACCCTCTCAGCTCAACCAGGGATTGGAAAGACTTTAGAGGCTGATGGGCAGGAGTGTCCATGAAGAGGCCAGTTAGGTGAGGAGGTGCTCAGTGTGGAGACCCAGGGAGGTATGTCAGGAAAATCTAAAAATTACCACTTACTGCCAATCCTTGTGAGAGCCCAGTGGAAGCCTCCCTTGTTTTAATTTGGGTGATCTGCTTGTTCTTGAACATTTCTGAGTACTTCCATTCAACTGGTAATGGAGACAATGAAGAAAATGAGTCTTGGCCCTCTTCCAACCATTTGTCTGAAGAGCTGACAGCTCATTAACTTCTCTAGCTGCTGTTCCTGAGCTTCTAAGAGATGCCACCATCCTTTCTATGTGAAGATGAAGACATTCAGAGTGGCTAAGGGAGAAGAGTCACTCACAGAGGAATGTGTATCTACTTACCTACCTTCACCATGCTGCCCCATTCCAGGTGCATGGGGACCATTCTCCTCCCCATGATGGAGGCTCCTTCTGTTCTCAGGCATCTCCAGCAACTCAGAATCCCTTTTAGGCTGCTTTCTCCTTCTCTGAGTCTGTGGGTGAATCGTGGGACCCTTTCACTTCTGCTTTCCTAAAGTCCCTCAAATTGCTGGCTTAACTGGTATGTCCAGGAGTTTCGCTTCTCAAAATGTGTTTAAGGGGTCTGAATTACAAATAAGAGAGAGCAGCATGTCTCTTAGTTAGAAAATATCCGAAACTTAAGAAAGAAAGGAGGGAGGGAAGGAAGGAAGGAAGGAAGGAGGGAAGGAGGGAAGGAAGGAAGGAAGGAAGGAAGGAAGGAAGGGCTCAGAAAATGAGATACATTAAAAGGCTATTTAACCAATATTGCAGACACTAAAGTTCCATAAAAGAAAGATACAATTATTAAAAACAAGGTTTGTAAACATTTTAATTTTTTCTTAACTGGCCCTCGAGCAGACCAGATGACTCACCCCTGGCCCGCTGAGATCAGCCTGCAGTCTGGGGAGCTGTAACACATTTGTGTGGCTTATCCTATTTAACATGCAGACCCAGCTTTGTGTCATGTGATTCTCACAGAAACTGATCTACTACAAATTTCTCTGTAAGTCTACCTAGTTTACACATTTCATTTACCACCTAGGCGACACACACCACTGTGTACCATTAAACTACCCTAGTGAAGCGCCGTCATTTGCTTGCTTAATCCCTGGGGGTGAAGGGATGTCAGTTGTCTCATCCTTTCAACGTTGCCGTGGATGCAGTTCCACTCCCTTTATCTTGGCAGAGATGATGTTTCTGTTCTCTCCCGTCTTTCTTTGTTTCTTTCACGCATGTTTGTGCCCCAAAAGGCGGGCTTTATATTGGTCCACTCTTTGTGCTTATTTCTCCGTGATTGTCCAAAAACGGATTTGCTAGATCAGAAAACATGACCAGTTTTATGGCTTTTATGGGCTTTTGCTAGATTTTTAAAGAAAGAATGAGGTGGTTTTCCCAGTTACTTTCTAGTCACTTGGTAGACTTACTCTAAATACTCGTTGGAGAATTCCTCTTTTCTTTGAAAAGACATCACATGCAGAACCTTCTGAGATGCAGTCCAAGGATGAGTATCCAGGCTCAAGCATCCATTCTGTGCATAGCCCCTGGATCCCAGAGCCGTATCATGCATGACCCGGAGACCCACAAAACAGTAGTCTTGCTTGAATAGCATAAGAGGCCAAAGATCCTGCTAGAGAAAAGTCCTAGCTGAGGTAAAAAAAAACATTCATTCCTAGTCGCTTTTCTTTTTAAGACGTTACTCGTCATTTTTAAATTCTAGTAAAACAGAGATGATCCTTGGTATAATCTATGGGTACCTTTCATAGAGATGGATAATTCCATCTGCGGATCTGTTTGGACCCTGACTTGTAAAGGGGATTTAGTTGTTAATTCCTTTATTTATGTTGAGTAGATGCTAAGAGAAGCCTGAGCAAGTATGTAGAAGCTGAGGGGAGACTTGACTAAGGAGGTGAAATCTGAGCAGGTCTTTGAAGGATGATGGGTTTCACCATGTGGGCAGAAGAGAGGCTGGCTTGGGCAGGGTATTGCAAGATGTCCTGAAAAGCTTGGATTTTGTCTTGTTTGGTGCCATTGAAGACTTTATTTATTTATTTATTTTAATTTTTATGTTAATCACCATACATATTTATTTATTTTTAAAGATTTTATTTATTTATTAGAGAGAGAGAGAGAGAAAACACAGAGAGAGTGTGTGAGGGAGAAGCAGACTCCCCGCTGAGCAGAGAGCCTGATGTGCGGCTTGATCCCAGGACCCTGAGATCATGTCCAAAAGCAGCCACTCAACTGACTGAGCCACCCAGGAGCCCCGTCATTGAAGACTTTAAAGCAGCAGAAAGCCAGGAGTCTGAATTAGTACAGTGACCTTTTACTTTACAAAGGTCTCATTAAGAAACCTTGCATGTTCTATTTTATTTTATTTCATAAGTTCTCGGTTATGTATCATGGAATGTTGATCCCTGCTTAAGTTATATCAGAACCTCTTCATATGCAGAAAATTCCAGAGGAGTCAGGACAGGCCCTTAGCACAGTAATCAAAGAGTATAATAATAGCATTCATAGAGAACATTATATCTTTAGAAGTTGAGAGCGACCCAGGATCTTGTCATTCCCAAAATATGTGTCATAGTAGTCATCATCCCTCCTTCCTGGGCGAGAGCCTTATGCATCACCTTGGGATGATCATGGAGACCAGGTTTTTCATGAGGCCAGTTTTAAGTTTCCCAGGGTGACCTGGCTGAGGAAGGGGGCCCAGTTGACAGCCTAGGACTGCTACTCTGTAAAGCAGAGCACTCTAACCGACCAGAATTTGACACAAATGAGGTGATTATTTTTAGAGTGGGGGTGGCATGAGAGGAGGGGGGAGGGGCAGAGGGAGAGGGAGAGAGAGAGAGAGAATCTTAAGCAGACTCCAGGCCCAGCAAAGAGCCCAACGCAGGGCTCAATCTCTCAAACCTGAGATCATGACCTGAGCTGAAATCAAGAGTTGGATGCTTAACCAACTGAGCCACTCAGGTGCCCCAAATGAAGTGATTTTTAATGGAGCTGGGGGTGGGGAGAAGGATAAACAGACTGGGGCGAGTCTGGGAACCTGGGGAAGGGATTTTTTTGGAAGAGCCTAGAAACCTCACAAGCATCCCAAACAGCTAGGCTAGTGGAGAAGAGCATGGAAGGAGAAGAATCGTGAAAAAGGGTAAGGGAATGGAACAGAAATTTTGTCAGCTCATTTTTGTCTGGGGATGGTCCTGCCCTTGGTGACCTGCTGTAGTTTACAAATTCTCACTCATTCCATGGGGTGGAGAAAATGGAAAGCCTTCCATTCTGGTCCGATCGGCTTTTGGAAAGTGAGAAGAAAGGCCAAAGGCAAGTGATAGTACATGGAGACTCAAGCCATACTGCCGGGGACAGCGGAGGTGTTGGGCAGGGCGGCTGCCGGCGTCGGTCACAGAGCCCATGGCCACATACCATGATATGTCTGCAACTGTGTTGCCCTTGCTCTCCGCTCAGCAAATCTGAGGACAGGGAGGTATTGTGACCAGGCCTGGGTAATTTTGGGCAGACCTCTTTTCTCACTGCTCACGTAAAAGACTGTCCTTGCTTTGGATACTAAACCAAGGACAGATGCTGATACAATAATCTCCATGTTGAATAAGACCCACATCTTGTCCGTGGCTGCTTTTTGAACAATGTAGTCCAGATTTGTGTGGGTAACTCTCCACAAGCCTGTACCTGGCCAGTGGAAGACCCTGCTGCTCTGGGGAATTTAACTGCCAATTGTCAATTTGGGGGCCTGTCTTGATTCTAGAGATCTAGGATTTTTCTCTCTGGAGGTCTTGATTCGGAAGTGCCCACTGCATGGGGCTATGTGGGTGCTAGGTTGCTTCAATGTGGCTTCAACAGGAACAAAGCCAGATACTGAAAGTGGGTGGTCCACTGGGGGAATGGAAATGTCATCGACCAAAATTGGCAAGTCAGGAGGGAGGACTGAGAGTTTGGGATTGGGGATGAAGTTTAAGAAAAAACATGTTATTTCCGATCTGAAATGCCAGTGGATTATTCGGGTGGATACGTCCAAAAAGCTGACTTGTCTGTAGTAGCAACAAGTGAAGTCATTTCAGTGGATGAGGTTCACTGGGCTATGGATGGAGAAGAGAGGACAGGCCCAAGACTTCCTTGGCTGTCTCAAGCCAGAGTCTCTTTTTATTTGCTGGTGAAGGAACGATGGTCTGCACCAGGAGCGACATGTTTCTAGCTGTACTTCTGAGGGTTGGGTGTCTGCCCAGGCAAATTATAGCATTTTCTATACTGAGCAAGGCAGCTTCCTCTCTACAGTGCGTGTTTCCTTTTTCAGACAGGGACACATCTTTTTTGGAGGGAGTTATAGACCCCCCGCTTCTAGAACCATTTTCCAAGAACTACATGGGAGGTAGTCGAAACCCTCGCATCAGAACTGCAGGACAAGGTGGGTTGCAAAGTTAACTGTTCCTTCTCATCCTCACAGCTGTGTCTTGGCTTTATTTCTGCGGGGATCCTAGGGTGTTGTGTAACGATGGGACTGCAGGCAGACTTCGAAGGGCTCCCGCATAAAGGACCTCAGCTGGCGGCATCCATTTGGAGATAAGGAATGGAATCCTCGGGGACGCAGCCAGCCAGGGGAGATCCTGTCCTCCTTACACGCCACCGGGCACTGCGACCGGGCGGGGCTGGAGGGGCATATGCCAGAGGGGGGCTCGGCAGAGCGGGGTCCGGCCGCCGCGCAGGTCTGAGAGAGGAGGCACTCTGCCAGGGTCGCCGCAGGTCCCGGGGGCCGCCCCGGGGTGGCTGACGCCGGCTGGGGGCGTTCCTGGGAGCCGGGGGCCCTGGAGTTTAGACCCGAAGCCCCGGGAGGAGCCGGCCGGCGGCCACGTGACCGACCGCGGCGGGGCCGGCGGCCCAGAAATAGCCTCGGCGGCGGTCCCGCCCGCGGGCTGCCGCGAGCGAAAGGCGGAGACTGGAGGCCGCTGGCTGGGCGCGGGCGCGTCGCGGCCCCGGCCCCGGAGGATGCTGAGCCCCTGCCCGGTCCGGCCCCGAGCACATGATGGCGATACGGGAGCTCAAAGTGTGTCTTCTCGGGGTGAGTCCTGCGCCGCCACCCGCCGGGGGACACCCACGTCCGTGCGTCCCCACCCCCCCGCCCCACCGTCCCCTGCGCCCCCCTCGTCCATGCGCCCCCTCTTTCCAGCCCGGCGGCGGTCGGGTTCGAGCCTGCCCCGGAGCTTCTCACTCGTTCACCCCGCAGCCGCGTCTCCCGGGATCCGCTGGGGCCCCGCGGCGCTCAGGCCGGGCCGGGCCGGGCCGCGGGACCCTCCGCGGGGACAGGCAGAGCGGCCGCCGCTCGCGGCCGCCGCCACCGCGGTCCCTCCGGCCTCCGAGGGCTTTCTTCGCCTTTGATAATTTCCTTCCGGCGGAAACTTTAGGTTACTCAGCCAAGGCTCCAGATCCTTTTTGTCTCCCGGGGGCAATGGGTCTATTTGGGGCGGGGGGCTGGGGAGAAAGAAAGCCCAGCCAAAGGCGAGCAAACCCAAGGGGATGCCCGGCTGGAAGGCGAAGGGATAAGCATCGGAGAGCTTAGAGCCTAGGAAACTTCCGTGCTCCGGAGAAAGAAGGCAGGATGAGAAAGTCTCCCGGATCACCGCTTCCCCTCCCTAAGTGGGTCTTTCTGAGTCTGAGGAAATGGGAAAGAAGCCGGAAACACAGATAGGCACCAATACCCCAGCCCCTCGCCTCGGCAGACCTGTCAGGTGATGCAGGACAGTCTCTGGAAACCCGCCGCCGAGAGCTCAGATAATATCAAGGGTCATTTCCTTTTGGGTGCCCACATCAAATTCCAGAATTTCTTCTTTTGAAAGAGCTGGTTTTAAGCCGTGTTTCCAGCAGCCTTTGGCATCGATGCCGAGGGTACTGCCCCTGGCAAATCCTGTCTCCCAAGAAAACTCTTTCCTACAAAAAGAGCAGCAAAGGGGGAGACCCATTGTTATTTAAAAGAAGTGCTAAGTGGCTGTCAGGAGGGAGGTAGAGACTCCTGTAATGAGGAAATGATTCCAGGTTAGGATTGAATTGTCCCAGACCAGCCAAGTGTCTAGGCTCCATCTAGGCTCTTTTGGAACCTCTGGCTGGACAATGTTCTTGACTGTCTCCCGTCACTGTCTTTTGCCAGAACTGTCACTTAGACTAGATAGTCCGGTTTGGCTGGAATTCCAGAAGACCTGGCAAAGGTCCTCCCTTTGCTGTTAGCCTGGGCACAAACTCCCCGGTGTGCCGGCCCTCCTGGCTTGCTGGCCACAGATGGGGTCTGCAAAGGATCCTGTGCTGGCCTTCCTGTGTTGCAGGGGTGGCTTTCACTCTCAGCCAGGCTCTCCAACGTAGTCCTGACATAAATTCCAGGCATCTTGTGTTTTCCTTGCGAGGGGTCATTTCAGCCTCATGGAAGGCCTTCAGAGACTTAGAAGGAATGTTGTGTCCCAAGGAATCAAGAGCAACTTTGACGTGTGTTGTGTGCACGGGATTGGCCTTGGGAGTAAATGAAGGAGGAAATGTTTTGCCTCCTCACCGCCCCCCCCCCATGCTTTCTCCCTCAGGCCCTACCCATAATATGAATTATCTTCACTGTTCAGGGATGGGTCTCTATGTCCTTCTACAAGGAAATGGATCACTCGCTGTGCAATTCTGGGCAAGTACTTCAGTTGCCTCATCTATAAAATGGACATCATAACATCTTCCCTTTTAAGGCAGAGGATTATACCAGATGATCTGCTAAGATGCATGGTATCATTTCCTGCTAATGTGTGATTCCTGGGTGACAATTAGCAAGCCTGGGAGATGAGATAGCTGGAGGAAGTCCCTTTACTTCTTTTCTTTTATCTCTAAGAAAGAAGCATACTCTTAGTGGCTTCCTGGAGACGGTGCCTCACCCTTGTTTGCTGGGTCTTTGCAGGGGCTCTGTTGGTAGGAGACTGGCTTGTGAGGAAGGAGCTCTGCCGGAGCAAGAAGGTATTTCTGGGCAGCTGGAGGCTTTGACGCTTCATCCATGTAATACCACATCTGCAGCCTTCTGTTTTTTTGAGTGGCTCCAGGTTTTTGTGTTGTTTAGATCAGAGGGCCAATGACCTTGTCACCCACACTGAGTAAAATTTGTTAAGTCCTGTGGTTTGGCTGGGCCTGTCCTGGGCAAGATGTGTGTGATAGGCTGTATTCTCAGTGGCTCATCCATATGGGGGCCTTGTCTGAGTGAGATAGCATTTGGGGGAGGTCGAAGCCACTTTAACCACCTTGGGGTTCACTCTTGATTTGACAAAGAACCTTGAAGGTCAGTGACTAAAAGAAGGGATCAAGGCCACGTCTGAAAGTCCCCTTAAAGTTTTATCAGGAGCCCTGAGCTCCTTTTTTCTCTGTGTTGGGAGGGCCATCTTTTCTGGATAAAGTCTTGCATGTGGCTAGCGTTCAGCTTCCTGTTTCTCAGCCACCACCACATCTCCCTGAAGTCTCAGTATGACTGAGACCCTACCAGCCATGCCCTCTGTTCCTATCACCTTGTTTCCGGCCCCTTTGAGGTGATGGAGAATGCCGACCTCCTAACTGAAGTCTGGCTGTCTCACTGGGGAGTGTGAGGGGCTGGTGTTTTTGTGCCTGGCTATTTGCCCTGATTGCTCCCTGGTTATGCGTGAGGCTGCACTTCCCGTTCGAGGCACAAGGTTGTTTTAGGCACGGGCCATGCAGACTTGTCTCCCTCTTAGGGGTAGTCTGCAACCTCTGCGCGCTTGGAGGTTCCCGACGGGAGGGTCATTTGCAACAGGTGGAAGCCAGAGTAAGCCAGAGGCATGTGTTCTCCACCCGGACCTGTGCCATTCAGGACTCTGCGGTTCAGCTTGTCTATCTTATTTCTTTTGGTGAGTGCTCCTGAATGGAATCCACGGCAGTCTGAGGAGCATTCTCCGAATGCTTTGTGCTCTTAGAAAAACCAAGGACTTCAGAGCTTTTGGTTTATTTAGGCTACCTGTTATAAATTCTTGGCTCTCATTATTTTCAGGGGTGGTCTCTCTCATGTTTTTCCTAGGCCTCTGTGAATGCCTTTTCCTGGGATAAGGCAGGCCACCCGCGGAAGCCAGCCATGTAGGACGGGGTGTTTGAAGGGGCACACACTGGGAAAGGGTCCTTATTAGACACCTGGGACCCAGGAGTCTTGTTCTTGTCAATAAAGTGCCTAGAGTCCTACTTTGTAACCTGAACCAGCATTATGAAACATGGAGCTTAAAAACAACCCCCTTAAAAACAGCAGAGTATGTTAAAAAAAAAAAAACTAACAAAAACAATATCGAGGCAGCAGCTGTTCCAAACCCCGAAGGTGGGAAGCTTCCCAGTATGCATTTTTAACACACATCACCACGTGGCAAAAAGCAAGGGGGGAGAGAGAGAGGGAAGGGGAGAGGGGACGAGAGGAGGAGTCTGAGGAGGGGCAGCGGAGCGGAGGAGAGGAGCTTTCTTTTATTTTATTATTTCCTCTGGGTGTGTACACTCAAAAACTGCTTCCGGATGGAATCCCAGAGACATTTGTATTTGGACTTTGGTTGTCTTGACGACAGTTTAGAGATTTCTGTCACTTCCTCAACAGCTGAGTGGCATGGTTAAAAGACAACCAAGGGTGTCCTGCTTCTGATAAGGAGCTTGGGGAAGCCTAGCCTTCTGGCCTTTGTTAGAATCTGGGTGGTGGTTCTTCACAGAGCAAACACCTGGGATTTGGTGTGACATCTGGGCAGTGGAGACTTCAGAAGTGTGCAAGGCCTTCACAGGAAGGGGCTGTGTGATCCCCAGAGGCTCCAGGACCCAAGGGTGGGACACATCTGCTCACAGTAAGCAGATCAGTCAGAGCTGTGGAACCCCAGATGGACTGCTTTGAGTGATGGTGAGCACCCCGCCACCAGAAGTGTTCATAAAGTTATATGAATCTGTTAGGGTCATTGTGGAAGGAAGGAGTGGGTAGGATGGGGAGGATTGGGCCAGGCAATCCTCGGAATTGCTCCAAGTCTGAGATTCTAACATGTTCATTTTCAATTGTTCAATGGAAAAACCAGCTTTGCATGGGTGGGGCTAGAAACCTAATTTCTTTCTTTCTTTTTTTTCCTTTTAAAGATTTTATTTATTTATTTATTTGAGAGAGAGAGAGAGCACGAGCGGGGAGGGGGCAGGGGGGCAGAGGGAGAGGGAAAAGCAGACTCCCCGCTGAGCAGGGAGCCCGCTGCGGGGTTCGATCTCAGGACCCCTGGATCATGACCTGAGCCGAAGGCAGACGCTTCACCGACTGAGCCACCCAGGCACCCCAACTTAATTTCTTTCTTACCAAACTTGATTCCTCTATTAAATTGAACCCTTTGTGGAAAGTGTGGTTCTGGCTTGGGGAAAATAAATATAAATGACATGGTAGGATGTCTTTCCAGGAGCGCACAACACATGGTAACACCGAGCACCCAGGCCAGGCGGGTGGAATCCCCCAGGGTCTCTTTGTTCCTCTTTTGTTCAGGGTCAGCATGGCCGCATGTCTCCCTCAGCTTCCAGAGCTCTGTGTGTCTCTGGGTGTGCCTCAGAGTCCCTTGTGGAGCATTTTCAAACTTCTCATGGCCCCTCCCCATCTCTTGTCAGGCATGTGGCCTTCCCCTGGCCCTTCCCCTGGCCCAGTGTCACTGTTCTCGTGAGTGTGTTGTATCCTTCAGGCCTGCTCCAAGGCCATTGCCATTGGAAAATATAAAACTTCACATTTTAAGATGCTAGGACATGAAAAGATTTTGAACTCATGAATTAGAAAAGGTCTTCAAATTTAACTGTGTCCAACAAGTGAGACTACTTTTAGTGCTTGAACGTCTATGCAAATATTACACTTTAATCTATATTTTTTTAAAGATTTTTTATTTATTTTAAAGAGAGAGTGTGCACGTGCATACGAGCGTGAGGGGTGGAGGGGCAGAGGGAGAGAGAGAATCTCAAGCAGACGCCCCACTGAGCGTGGAGCGACTAGCCGGGCTCCATTCCGCCACCCTGAGATCGTGACCTGGGCCGAAACCAAGACTCAGCAGCTCAGCCGCT